CCTTAGGCATCTGGGCATCACAGTATTTTGGACCCTAAATAATGATGACCTTATAGAAGTGTTGAGTCACAAAAGAAAATAAATGGCAGTCTTTAAGGCTAGAGCAGGACCAGGGTCCAGATTCACTAACATGACCTTATCTTGAGAGGCTCCGGTGATGGTACGAACTGGTAATAGGCGATTCACTAAAGGTTTCAACGGCGACCACAACTATGTTTAGTTCAGTAAGCTACCGCCAGAGGGTTTTGTGGTGTATTTGTTTTGCTTCCTTGCTAGACCAATCACCGTGTCCGAAACAAACACTGTGAAGGAACATTAACCGATCACAAGTTACACATGCCTGCAGATGACGCATAAACTCACACAACTGATAAGAACAATGAAGGGACAGTAGTTTGATATAAAAGGCGGCTGAATTTCTCTGATGAGATTTTTGTTACTACAGTCTCTCCCCGACTTACGACGGGGTAAATACATAGAAAATAAAAAATGAAATGCAGTACAGTAAAAGTAATCAATAATAAACAATGAATACAGTGTTACTGTGCACTTACCTTTAATGTAGTTAGCTGAATGCACACGGGGCCCCAATAATTTTTTATTTAAACATGGAGACTACATTAATTGGATGTAGCAGAGGAGGAGACAGGGCTGGGTGGGTCATCAATGTCGCTTTCTTCAGACAGGTTAACATACAGGGGATACTTGCTTGTTGAAGGTATTGGATCATCTTTAGGGAGTGAAGAGGCAGTACTGGTGGGGTTTGAGGAGACAGCAGTGGGGGACTTCTTAAAATATACGTCCAATTTAGACTGCACAGTTTGCCTTTCCTTTTCATTGTAAATTTCCCTGTAGCAAGCAAGTTTATCTTGGATCATTCTGTCAATTTTTGCAAAACGCTCAACATTTTGGTCCATTGCGTCAAACATTTGCTTCCCCTTATTAATAGTAGCAGATGCCTCTGCCATTTGTTTCACTGAAAACTTTTTGGGGGTGCAGGTTCTTCTACATTTTGACTCTCTTCTTCCTCTGCAATTTTCTGTGCATCCAGTTCAATAAGATCCTCGTTACTTAGCTCTTCTGCTACACTTTCAACCAACTGCTTAACATCTTCATTATCAATTTCTAACTCCAGCTGTTTACCCAACTCCACTATCTTGTTACTAATCTCAGCAATTACTTTAAATCCTTTGAAACTGTTCACATATCTTTTCAGGACTCTTCCATATTCCATTCATGCACTGACCTGTAACCTCATCCCATGCTGCAGCTATGTCCTTTATACATTTCAAAATGTTGTAGTCCTTCCAAAACTCTCTGGGTGTTTTCTCACCTTCAGTAGCAGCAACAGCCTGAGCGAAGGTAGTACGTAAACATTTCGCTTTAAAAGCAGCAATAGCACCTTGATCCATGGGTTGGATGATAGAGGTAGTATTAGGTGGAATGTACACTACCTTAACATCAGGATGCAGGTCGTCCAGGTGTGGTGGGTGTCCGGAGCATTATCCAAAAATAATAAAATTTTGAATGCAATCCCTTATTGCAGACAATACTCCTTGGCTCGTAGAATGAAACAAGTCAGGAACCAATCATCAAACAGTACTAGAGTCATCCATGCTTTTTTGTTACTGCAATAAAACAGTGGTAGTGTGTGCTTGCTGACATGTTTAAAAGCCCTTGGGTCTCAATGATATATCATGAAGGGCTTTATCTTGAAACCAGCTGCATCCCCCCCCTAACAGAAGTGTGATTCGGCCCTTGAATCCCGGCATGGTTTTCTCCTCTTTGTGGATGCATGTCCGTTCTGGCATGCGCTTCCAGAATAAGCCAGTTTTGTCCACATTAAATATTTGCTCAGGCAAATAATTTCCCTCCACTATGACACTATCTACCTCCTTAAAAGCTTCGGCAGAACCCACATCAGCACTTGCTGCCTCTCCACTCACCTTTACACTGTGCAAACTGTAACATTTCTTAAACCTTTGGAACCACCCAGGACTTGCTGTAAAGTTTTGGTCGCACTCATCTGCCTGCTCCTTTAGGCTTTCGAAAAGGCTTCTTGCCTTAGCCTGTACGGTTAGAAGGCTTAAGGGTCCATGCTTTTGTATCTGATCTTCCATCCACACCACAAGTAATTTTTCCATCTCATGAATAGGACCTTGTCTTTTTTTTCATTATTATCGTTCCCTTTATAGATGCTGATCCTTTCACTACCTCACAAATTCGTTCCTTGTCCTTCAAAATTGTCGAGATCGTCGAGTGAGAGAAGCCTAGGTCGCGTGAAATGGTTGCTACCGTTTTTCCATTTTCATATTGCATTATTATCTTCATTTTCATCTCAAAAATAATTGACTGTCTTCTTTTCTTCTGAGCACCACCAGAACTCTCACATCTACGCTTGCCAGTCATTCTAAAGTGAATTAGAAACGAAAATATTGTCAGTACACAGCGCGATAACTACCGACAACAATGACAGCCAAACACCAACTGAGAATGCGCTACGGCATGGATGCTGTAGCCACGAGGCGACCCAGCCCATGCGACGCTCTCGTACGGGACGGAAACGTTTCGGTCCTAGAAAATACGCGCGTCATTTGAAAAATTTTGGTACCGACTGCGGCGGTCATATGTGCGGGTGGTTGTATGTTGAGTAGATCGTAAGTCGAGAAGTAGCTTTAATACTAAAATTAATAAAAATTAAAATAATAATAATAATACAGTGGTCCCTCGGTTAACGAGCACAATTCGTTCCGAAAGGTTGCTCGTTAACCGAAAAATTTGTAAACCGAAACCATTGTTTCAATGGGTTTTGGGGTAATTGGTTCCAGCTCACCGAAAATTACATTCAAACTAAAAATAAATGCAGTAAAGTACACCTACTTTGAGGTGTGCATGTAGAAGGCTCCTGGTTGATGATGATGATGGGAATTAGAATGGGGGTGGAGGAGAAGGGAGAAGAGAAGGCATTGGGATGGAAGAGAAGTCACCCCATGCCGCCATTTCACCCATAAAATTTTAGTTCACTTGGTGTAATTCAAGATTATTTTCTTTAAATCAACACTGCATTGCATAATATATTGTCAATATGTAAAATATATTTCAAAATGACCAATAATTTGACTGGAAACACAGAAAGAAAGCATTTATGTTGAAGAGTCTCAAACAAGATGTTCCTTCCTCTGAACTGGTAAACAAACTGACGCCAAGCTTGGTGTGTTGAGTGGCTGTTTGGCGTGCAAAAAACTAGCTTCCTGTACTTCAATTATGTTCAGTAATTGTTAAAATGACTGAAGAATTTAATATAAAACTTTTAAAATTATTGAATAGTACAACCTTCTTGATATTTACTAAAATGATAAGGAATTTAAGCCCTAAAACCGATTACTGTATTGGCGGACTAATACTACAGCTGGTGGGCAGCCAAATGCAGGCGAAAACATGTTGGGAAAAATTCGTAAGGAATTCGTTAACCGAGGGTTTGCTCGTTAACCGAAGTGAAGAATCTTGTGGAAGGTAATTTGTTAACCGAGGGATCACTGTACTGTAATACAGGTTGTATCTCTCTAGTCCGGCATTCTGTGGTCCGGAAACTCTCATGATCCGGAACAATTTTAGTTTGTCCAATAGGTAGATAGGCAGCTTTTTTTTTTTTTTTTTTTTTTACTACCTGAATTATTATTATTATAGGAGTATTAAATTTTTGCCCCTCAGGCCCCAATGTGGGTTAGTGACCTATGCCCGGGTGGGCTAATCCCCATAAAAAAACAATAACAAAGCCGCGGGAAATTAAGGTTTGTTTACATCCGGCAGTTTGGCTGCTCTCTCTCTCTCTGCTTGTCTATACAGAGTACAACATTTAACCCTTCAATATATATGAGCAGTAATTAAGTGTTGCTTTCATATTCTTATGTAGAGTAATGACAATATGTTTTCACATGTGCGCACTTGCATACGCGCAGTCTCACTTTTTTTTTTACCATTAATGGTTAGCTACTTATATTGTTCCATTTATTAACATTAAATAACATTACAGGTACTTCAAACAACCATATTAATTTTTTTACATTAATTTTACTACAGCTACAATCAGGGTCTTATTTTCTTCAGTTTTATCTGTAGAACCAATTAGTCACTGGTTTTGTAAGCTTTAACATAAACAATGCCTTGCAGCCGTCTCGTCTCATCGTGTGTTTTAATATTCCACTTATTATTAATAAATTGTATTGTTAATTTTGCACACACAAACATTAATTCAATAAAAACAAATTCAGAAACATTAATTTAAATATATATGAACAGTAAATAAGTGTTGCTTTCATATTCTTATGTAAAGTAATGACGATATGTTTTCACGTGTGCGCACTTACATACGCGATCTTTCTTTTTTCTTTACCATTATCGTTAGCTACTTCTATTGTTCCACTTATTAACATTAAATAACATTAGTTAATACAACCATATTAATTTTACTACAGCTACAACCAAGGTCTTATTTTCTTCAGTTTTATATGTAGAACCAGTCAGTCACTGGTTTTGTAATCAACGAAAACAATGCTGTGTCATTTCCTCGTGTGTTTTAATATTCTACGTATTATTAATGAATTGTATTGCTCATTTTGCACACATAAACATTAATTCAATAAAAAAGACATTCAGTAATAAACAATAATGAATCTTTTGTACATAAGAGAAATGACGCTGTTTACACGAATAAACAATAATGAATCTTTTGTACATAAGAGAAATGACGCTGTTTACATGATTATGCATGTCGTCTGCACGTTGGTGGGCCGTTCAAAGCCATCGAAATTCAATTTTCCGCCGTCAAAATTTTTATTTATTTTTTTGTGTGTGTGTGTTCCAATAAAATACGTTGAATTAAAAACTCGCAAAATTTGAGAAGCTACTATACGACATTTAACACTTCAATATGTCTTCAAAGAGACCATGATGCAGAGAAAGTGGTGCTAGTGCTTCCAGCATAAGCACAAGTCACTATCTAGGTATCCAAGAAAAGGGTGAATTTCCATGGTCCGGCACTGGTCAGGTCCCGAGGTTGCTGGACTAGAGAGGTACAACCTGTAATAATATGATTACATATTATTTATATATTTTTTGGAGCAAATGCACTTCATAAATCTTGACACAGTTGATTATCTTAAGCTAATCCCCGTAAAAAAAAAAATTGGGCCATGACATTCGCTCACTCACTGACACCAGCACCTATTGTACAGTACAGTTGTTGTGTTTTTATACCTTAGGATATATTTATGGTAAACATGATTTTGCTTGGGTGTTGTTTAATATTGTAGCTAAAACCTTAACAGGGATTAATGGGAAGTTGGGAACAAAAAAATTTGTTGGTTAAAGGTTAAAACATCTGAGACAAAGCTTGGTTCCTGTGACATCACATCAAGTCCACTGACTCAACAAACAGTTACTTGTGAGACAACACAACTTAACTTCAAGTTTTTCATGCACATATTGGATGCTTGTGTAATGGAATACTGTACAAGAATGTTGTATTGTTTTTATGTACAGTATACTATACTACACAGTAAACCCTCATTTAACCGACCCCCACAATAACCGATCAACAAATTGTTCTTGCCTACAGTTGTAGGCTGCAAACCGACAGCTCTTGCTATGTCCACAGCTCACTTTCCTTCTTCAAATCTAATGTGACACTTTTCCTTTTCTTTCTGTGACCACAACCAGTAGTGGTGCATAATACACAATTAACACTCATTGTTCTAAGGCTCAAATAAATTTATAATTGTATTTTAAGTGAATGTTGGAAGAGCATCAACCAACCACCGAACAATAACAAATATGGCGTCCTTGCTGGTCACTTACGCAGGTGAGTGCCTTTGTACCAAATTTTTAAAATTGGTGTAAATACATCATTTTCATACATACTATATTTTTTATTTTTGTACAGTACAGCATGCCCTTACAATTTGTGGATTTTTTATTTGCGGCCTTCTATTATTCATGGATGACACCCTGGATATACCCAAGAATGTCTGCAGGTAGTTTTAAAGTACACAGCATTTTCATGGCTGGGACAGGAGCCTGTGAGTTTTATGGTGTCTCTCTTGTCCCAGGTGGCTGGACCATGTGCGCTCACTCCGTAGCAGTGACAGTCCGGGTTAAACACTTGTCCATTTTGCACATGTGCTACTCTGCTCTCTTAACAACTGTGCTCCTTGTGCTTGTGATGGCTCCCAAACACCCTCATCTAGCTGCAGGAAGGTGCCCAAACAAGTGAAGAAAGAAAGGAAGGTCATATATTTCTCCCATACATATGCCTGGCAATGGGAGTGGATAAGGGGAGTGAGTGACTGCTAGTTAGGGCGTCATTTGCAGTTGTAACTCGCCTCACTCCCTGCCATATTTCACTGGATTTACTGTTATTATTAGTGTTTACTGATAAAAGAGTGTTTAATAATGATTAATCGTGTCATTATAGCTCGGTTAACTCATCACTGTAACCACCAGGCTACTGGGCCAAGCTGTGAGGTGTTATGGTCTTTCAACTCGCAATTTCGTGTAGATATACGTAACCTTCTTCATTCATTTTTACTCAGTTACATGCACACACCATCCTACAAACATATTGTGAAAAAAGTACAGTATTACACCACAATTACCAACGTCCTTCATGTTGGGTTGGTTAGATGGCTATGAAAGAAATTCTTTAAGTTTGATCTATAATACATATCAACCCAGCTGGAGCTCAGATGCCTTTCGCTGTAGAGACAGTAATTCTTAAGAGGCAACCCAACTTTAATAACAAAGCATGGAGTTGACTGGGAGGTAAACTCCCGCATTTTTTTCTGCATTTTGATGCATTCTGTTTTCTTTTTTTCTTTTTTTTATTATTTCTGAGAGAATTTTCCCATTATTATTTATTTGTGTGTGTGTGTGTGTGTGTGTCTACATACACACATATACAGTACTGTACAGGTAAAAGAAATAATTGCCCTAGGGGGAATATACACTTTGCACAAGTGTAAAAATTTAACCCCCGGTCAGCAAATTGTATTCGTGGTTTTGGTTTAGCAATTCGTGGCTATTTTTAGACCCAAACCCCCACGAATTTTAAGGGCATGCTATACCTCAATTGTCTGACTTATCAGCTTTTCCGACCTGACCTCTCCCCGTATAGGTCGGCTAAACAAAGGTATACTGCACTACAATCCAGTATATGAAGGAAAGTCGATCATTTTAATTAACTCCTTTACTATGGGGATGCCACTTTTAATATTTTAGCTGGCTAATGCCAATTGAATTACTTAGCACATATCATACATTAACTAAACTTCCTGTAATATCAAGTATTTTTCAGCCATGATGTAAACTGTACAGTAATTTTGAACTGCATTGGTTTTATGTACGGGCAGTCCCTGGGTTACATACGAGTTCCGTTCCTGCAGATGGTTCTTAAGTCGAAAATACTCGTATACTTAACTCAAACCATATATCCTATGTGCATACTGTACTTACATAACATTGTTTAAAATCCCATTATATCATAGCCTTAGTCCTTATATACTGTACATCTAAAATCACTTAATTAAAGAGAAAAGAAATATAATGACAAAATACAGTAAATGTAAGTAAAAAATAAGTCATTGGGTAAATAAACTAAAATACTGTAAATTTTAAATTAAACATTATTGGACCTCGTTCATATCGGCAGATGTTCGTAAGTTGTACATGTGTAACCCGGGGACCCCCTGTATAATGTATATAAATCATTTATTGTAATTACACAGTTGTATCATGTTTATTGGTGAAGGAGAAACAAACATTTACATGTTTAGTTCCAAGGGTTTTCATATTTTTGTGCATTTTGCTTTACAGTACAGTACAGTACAGGGTAATTATAAGGGTGGATTACCCTACCCTATACTGTAATGGTTCAAAAATATGTATTTACTGAATTAATTCAGTCCTAAGCTCCTTTGTAAAAACAGGGTTTTACTATAGTAAGTTTTCATTAGATGGACCAACATAGTAAGTTTTCATAGATGGACCAACATAGTAAGTTTTCATTAGATGGACCAACATAGTAAGTTTTCATTAGATGGACCAACATAGTAAGTTTTCATAGATGGACCAACATAGTAAGTTTTCATTAGATGGACCAACCTAGTAAGTTTTCATTAGATGGACCAACCTAGTAGGTTTTCATTAGATGGACCAACATAGTAAGTTTTCATTAGATGGACCAACATAGTAAGTTTTCATAGATGGACCAACATAGTAAGTTTTCATTAGATGGACCAACATAGTAAGTTTTCATTAGATGGACCAACCTAGTAAGTTTTCATAGATGGACCAACATAGTAAGTTTTCATTAGATGGACCAACCTAGTAAGTTTTCATAGATGGACCAACCTAGTAAGTTTTCATAGATGGACCAACATAGTAAGTTTTCATTAGATGGACCAACATAGTACTGTATACATATAGATTGACTAACATACAGTACAGGTTGACAACCCCTTTTCTGAAAACCGATTTTTTTTTTTTTTTTTTTTTTTTAACGGATTAGCACACCCAGGCATACATCACTGACCCGAATCGGGGCCTGGGGGGCGAAAATGTAATAGTAATAATAATAATTATTCATAGTAATTAAAAATTTTAATAAAAATACACCAAAATAAAATAATAATAACAATAATAATAATAAAATATAAAATTAATAATAATAATAACAACAATAATACTGTAATAATAAAATAATAATAATAAAGAAATACAAGAATGAAAAAAAGATAAAAAGTGAGAAACACGACCTAGACCTATGAATTATTATTATTATTATTATTATTATTATTATTATAATAATTCTTATTATATTTTTGCACCCCCTCCTCCAGGCCCCCATGTGGGTCAGTGATCTATGCCCGGGTGGGCTAATACACATTAAAAAAAAAAAAAACATTCTGAAAACCGAAAAATTCCGAAATCCGAAATGCCTCTAGCCTCAAGGATTTCGGATAAAGGATTGTCAACCTGTAATAAATTTCCTTTAGTTTAACCCATAATCTGTAATAACTTTCCTAGTAGACAGAGAAATATTAAAGTCTATAACTTTTCATTTAGACTGGTTGATGTTAATTAAATGAAAAAAAATTACAATTGTATTTCTTAGAAATAATGCTTTTAAGTAAATACTAAATTAGTATTGAATTTTTAAATTTGACAATTCTTAGTTGTTGTTGTTTTTTAAATACATATACTGTACTGTACTGTATAGTGTACAGTATTGTTATCAGTTCTAAGCTATGTTTTGCTTAAAGATATCAATGTTTTTAATACCAGAGTTGTTAATTTTAATAGTTCTCTTTTCTTATACTATATCATTTATGGTTTTCTAAATAAATCAAATACTAAATTTTTTATTTATTTTTTATTTATTTTTGTAATGATTGAAAGTTATCTATGTACAGTACTATATACCCTAACCCCAAGTGGCTCTCATAATACTGGCTGTTTACTGGGAAGTAGGATGTATCATACTTTCCTATTAAGGCAAGTCAGACTGATATATTAATGGCTTTGGTTACTGTATACCAATCACCCCTCCCTCCCTACTACATTGTCCCCTTATGTGTGGGTGATTAGGTGTACAATTTGCTTTCTGAGGATTAGTAGCAAAATCTGTCCAATCGTGCTCATATATGTTATTTTGAATCCAGGACCAATATTTCACTTACATTTCAGTTCCTTGAAGACATCCATCAAAAGCAGATGATTGATTTGATTTTTCCTTGTCTGCTGCTGTATATAAAGCCAAATCTTACCCCCCCCCTTAATATATATATATATATATATATATATATATATATATATATATATATATATATATATATATATATATATATATATATATATATATATATATATATATATATATATATATATATTTCATTAGCCCAATAGCATGCGGACTTCATACATACATACATACAATCAAGTCCGCGTGCTATTGGGCTTATGAAATATATATGGATCCACGTGTTTTGAAGCCAGATTTGGTAAAACATTACTCTGACCACCTATGTGATACAGGTAGTCCCCATTAGAGGTTCACGGCGCCATAAGCTCGTTGAACAGACTTTGTGTGAAATGTAACAGAGTCTAGGACTGCTTTTAGTATCCTGGTGGTCCAGCGGTTACCGTTCCCGGTCACAGTCATGGGCTAGTGGGCCGTGGGTTCGAATCCTGGTGGGTTGAGGTGTTGATTGTATATATATATATATATATATATATATATATATATATATATATATATATATATATATATATATATATTGATAAAATCACACAGGGAAAAGGGAGAAAGTAGAGAACCTTAGGTACAATATACTGTACCTCATAATGGTTTTGCTAGAGCAGCTAGACCCTAGGATTAAAAGAACTGGTCCTAAACCATGTACAGTATCTTTCTCTCTTTTTTTGTGGGGGATATTGAGCCTTTGTGAAGAGAGAATAATGGTCCTTGGACCAGCATTTGCTTGAACAAAGGTTTTTTTGGGGGGGATGGGGGAATTGGATCCTAGGACCAGCATTATCCTGGTCTATGGATCTCCATTTTTCTATAGGAAACCCTCAAAGACTGGCCCTGATTCTAGGACAATTACAAATGGTCCTGGTCCTAGGATTGAGATTAGTCTCATATTGATTCAAATGCTTTGAAATCTGGCATCTGCTCTTTGTACGAGATAGCCTAATCTTGATCCAAGGGATAGGAGAACCGGAGCATTTTCTTAGAATGGGATCGAGCTAAATTCCAGGAAAATTGACCTGGTAAAACAAATTAAATACTGTATGTACTTTCTGGTAAAATAAAAGAAATACTGCATTTTTACTTTTATTGACCTACACAAGAATTGAAATACCTGTACTATGTCCATAGAATGGAAAGGTGGCTGGAAGCTCAGGGATAATTGCAGAAACATTGAAAGCATCTGGGGATGTAGGCGTGTCAGTGGTGTCCGAATTTACTAATGCAATCATGATAGAATGTGATGTTCCGGTCAAGGAGGTTTAATGGATGGAGGCAGCATAAGCTAGTGTAAAATGGCCTTGTGCTGTCTGCAAGGAAGGTGTTGCCAAAAACTCAATGCACAATGAGTGTAGAAGGTAAATACTGTACTGTACACAAGAAGTGCTGTGAAGTAGATGGCAAAAAGACCTTCCCTCTAAGTGAAGGGAGAATGTGTGAGTAGTGAGATGTATTGCAGTTAAAGAGGATGACATAAGTACTCTTGTGTGAGCTGAAATGAGAATGGTGAAGTGGATGTGTAATGTGACACTGAAAGACAGGAGGCCCAGGTCACTGCCAAGAGGGTGGGTGGGTATTGAGAGTACTGCACTGTATTTATGAAGTTCTGCAGAAAGGCAGGTTGAAGTCATGGAGATGTTTGGGCATGTGGAGAGAATGGATGAGACAAATTGGGTTAAAAGGTGCAGGATCCTGAATGTGGAGTGGGGGAGAGTCATGTGTAGGCCAAGAATGACATGAGAAAAGGGTATATAATAGAGTTAAGAAAGTGCAAGGAACCACTGCAGCATGGAGAGCTGCCATTAGGCTACCATGGCTAACTCACGCAAGCGATGATGATGTGGTCTGGAAGTGATTTATTGGAAAATCTAGATGAGAGTAAGGAAAAAATAAATAACTTGTATAAGATGTCCGTTCAAAGGGTAAGTTGTTTACAGTCATGTCTGGTTTTGAGACTAACTGATGGAGGTGTTTGGGCATCAAATCATTCCAAGGATAATTAAGAAAATTCGCCCCCCTCCCCATACAGTGAATTGCGTGACCACTTGAACCACAAATACAATCATAGTGATGCAATCTCATGACTATGATTGTATTGAAGAGGTTGAAATGGCTTAAGCTAATTATTAAAGAAATATGAGTCGTTTTACTTGAGCCAATGAATCTTGAAATACAATTACTTGCAAACTTAAAAGTTCCATCTTGTAAATCAAGCATTACATAAATTACTTGCTTATGAACAAATATAATTAATTACACTTACAGTTAAGTAGCAATGTGCCTACAAAGTATTTTATACACAGCAGTTCAATTTATTTTTGTATTTACCGCAAATACCCTGTAGAGTTGGGTCTTCATTTGCGCGGTCAATTGAACCCGCGGAGTACCTCGTAAAACGAGAAACGCTTAAATGAAATAACAAAACATATGGGTTTAATTGAAACAGAGACTGGGCCGACCCCGAAACTTCACTTTTTCCGACACAATACGTTCCTTGTAGTAAGAATAACATCTTAATTTTATGATGGTATGCACACAATTAATAATTAAGAGAAATATCAATAATAATAGGTTTTTTAACAGTTACATTAGTAGAAAAGATGGCTGGGCACACAGGGGTGGGGGGGTTGGTTCCGAGGCAGAGGGCAGATTATTGGCCCTCACCTATATCACTTGTATCAATTGTATCACTATCCACCACAGAGGCTTGCAGGGCCACTTTGTCAAACCCCTCAAAGTCCATTTAAGTCCATATCCTCACTATCACTATCACTGACTTGGGCCGGCTGTGGTGGGTGGCGAGTGAAGAACTCGGTAATGTTTTGATGACTGGGCGACCTTGTGTGCACCCTGCCCGCGCCGCTTCCCGCGTAAATCAAGCATTTCAATTTTGGCAACGCACCGCGTAAATGACAAAACGCGCAAACCAAAATTGCGTAAATCCAGACTCAACTGTACATACAGTAGTTGTAAAATTCGTTGAACTTGGCTTAGTAACAGCGTTTCTTTAAAAAAAAAAAATGGAACGGCGTTTCTTGCAACACACCAATCTCTTATGTTTCCTTTAAATTATAGTACACTGTATTATAAGCTATAATACTATAATTTAAAGGAAATCCTTTAACTATTTTATAGAATCAGATAAATAGGCAGTGATTAAATAAATCCTAAACAAAAGGCCAAAATATTTAGAAAGCTATAAATACTGCATATACTGTACAGTATACTGTATAATTAAAACTATGTGTTTGTGTAACGTGAAATTGACCGGGAATTGGCAATCACAATGTATTCATTGGTTTCATAGATAATAAAATGCCATTTTGATTCTTTATTAATATATACTTTACAGTAAGATTGTGGGGTTTCGAGATGTTGCCTCACACTCGGGATGGGTTGGAGATAGGAAACTCACAATGTGCTCTCTGTATATATACTGTATTGTATTGGATGTACAGTGCAGCTTGGTGCTGGGAAGTGGCAGCGTAGTTACAAGTGTGGAGTAGAGAGAGCTGGTTCGGGAGCGTGTCCAGAGGAGGTGTTGCTTGCTGCGTGGCTGTAGGTAGAAAAAGGCAGGTCACAGCGAGGGGAGGTCTTATATAGCGGAGGTAGGCGTGGCTTGATAGCTGACCTCGCTTTGTTAGGCATCGCTAGAAGCCAACCTTAGACCACGAGGCGTTGGCTGGGGAATTCGAAAAGGGGTTGGCTAGTCTGCGACAAATGGCAGTTGTAGGGGAAATTTCCACTATAAGATACAGATGAGGTGATTCAGATTTGCCCCTCGAGGAGCTAGTTTATTGTGATTCAGGTTTGCCCCTCAAGGGGGCTAGTTTATTGTGATTCAGGTTTGCCCCTCAAGGGGGCTAGTTTATTGTGATTCAGATTTGCCCCTCGAGGGGGCTAGTTTATTGTGATTCGGATTTGCCCCTCGAGGGGGCTAGTTTATTGTGATTCGGATTTGCCCCTCGAGGGGGCTAGTTTATTGTGATTCGGATTTGCCCCTCGAGGGGGCTAGTTTATTGTGATTCGGATTTGCCCCTCGAGGGGGCTAGTTTATTGGGCACCCCCTTGCATCCTGTGCAAGGCAAAGCGATTACAGTGTGGGGTACGTGATGTTTTGGTTCGCACTCAGGATGGGATGGAGAAAGGAAAGTGCTCTCTGTATACATGTTGTATTGGATGTACAATGCAGCTTGGTGCTGGGAAGGCAGCATGGTTTACAAGCGTTGAGTAGAGAAAGCTTGTTGGTGAGGGTGCTCAGAGGAGGACAGCTTGTGGGTCGCCATGCTCGCCGGCGGGAGCGAGGGCCGCCAGGCAGCGGCGGAGGAGGTGGTGTGTTGTTTGCTGGTTGGTGTAGGTTGAAAGGAGAGTAGTCACAACGAGGTCAGGTCTTAAATAGCGGGGGTAGGCGTGGCTTAGTAGTTGACCTCCGCCATGTAAGGCGGCGCTGGTTGACCTAGACCACGAGGCATACACTGGGGAATTCGAGGGGTCGGCTACCCAGCGACAAAGCGTTTGTAGGGGAGAAATCCACTACAACAGCACCCAACTGGGAAGCATACGGAGTACATGCTTGTCGTGACTCGTGCATTAAGGACGCAAGTGCCCGAAGGGCCATGGGTTTTGTCAGCAAGTTACAAGTATATACAATACTGACAGGATGGTGAGTGTGTGGGGAGATTCCTGGCAGTGATGTGGGTGTGGGTGAGGAAGAGGGGGCACCTCATTCACTCTGCCAAATCTGTTTACGATACAATAATGTGACTATCACTGGTTTTACTTGCCAAGGGAACATTAAAGATTGACATAAAGAGAACGATTTTGTAGATAAGCGCTATAATCGAAAATGTCAAATAAATAGACAATTTCGTTGTCAAATCTAAAGAAATGGTTCTCGTCATCGTTTTAAATCGATTTTTTTTCAAGATCAAAGGAGTTCTGCGTTTATTAAATTGTTCCGAAAGGCTGAATTCGGATTCATAGCTGAGTTCTCGCCTGTTGAATAATGTCCCACGTTTTTTTCTTCTCATTTCTCCCCAGCCTACTATTTCGTCAAGGGCAATTGACATATTTTAATTAGAACCTCTACAAATTTTCTGAAAGTTTGTCTAGTCAAAATAATGTTTTCCTACTTTTAGCTTCGTTTGACTGGCTGTCAATGACTGTATACGCGATAATATTGACCCTTCCCTGGAGAAGATCTTTGCGATCCTTAATCCTTTCGCCTTAAATCAGCCTGCTGTTAGCTGCTTGGACAGTCGGTCACGTCTTCGTTAGGCATTGTTAAGTGCTGGGCATGTACTATGGCTCCACAATGTACTGTACAGTGCCTGAACCTGTGCCGGTGTTCAAGTCACTTAAATGATCTCCCAGAGTTAGTTCAGACAAGTTTCTTTACTTGTCTTCTAGTGGGGCTGGCTAGCTCTAGACTGGAGACTCAACTAAGCAATGTAGCCTGACTAAATCACCCATTGCCCACCTACAGGTAATAGTATAAGGCTTTTGAAACCTGAGGTACCTGTGGCGTTTAATGAACATATGTAACAATTATCAGTGAAAATTATCACCTTTCTAAATGTGTTTGCTTTCTAGAAAAAGCTGGGCAAACCGTGGACAGGTGAAGATGTCAGTTTCTACTACAGTAACCCGGAATCTGCTTGAAAAGGCACTAGCTCGCCCCTTCAGTGTCGAGGAACCTCAACGTTAGAAGAGATACAGTCATACAAGCGTAACCCTTCACCCAGAATAAACAAGAAATTTCGTAATATATTCCTGTCTGTTCTAGTTTGCCAGGCCGCTGTCCTTGGTCTTCAAGCCTCACCCCCCCACCCCCATTTCCCGTAAATCTGGGAGGACCTCCAGTCTGCACAGACGCTGTTTACGTGGCCTCCTTTTCAGTCTCTTTCGTGTGACATTTTTATCTTTCGTTCTTAACAAAACTAAAGAACTCTGGCTATTCGATATTCTTTGTCGATCATTGGTGTCTATTGTTATATAATTAGGCTCAAATTAGGAAATTCATATATGTTACAGAGGAATAAAACACTTTTATCTTAGATATCAAAATTAGTAGTGATCTTTTAGAATAGAATTGCATTAAGAGAATCGTTGGCATCGGTACCATAACCATTCTCGCGCCGACTCAGTGCTCGGTGTGTCATGGAATTTTCCAGATAAATTTTTAATAATTGTTAGCACCTAATATAAGAATATTATGAAAAAGAATCATATATTAATCAACTGATATCAGTATCCTTGTAACAGTAATATGCTAATGCCCACGACTCTTCTATTTGGTAGAACCCAAGATGTTAAAGGTCTTAAGAGAGATAATAGGCTTTACATCCTTCGGTGTAAGGGCAAAAGTCAAATGCAGCGCCTAACATTACGCGGAGCTCCACCCTTTAGGCTTCCCCATCGATTTTTACACAAGCCCTGTGCAGCGCTTTGTCGCATCCCACAAACCACTGTTGGGTTGGATATCCCCGCGTGCAACACTCCTCCACCACCTCGGCGCTCAACAACAATATACTGTTAAACGTGAATACTGTGGTAAACTGAGAAGATGTCGCAAAATAGTCAACAAGTGTCTTCATCAGATGCAGTAAAAATAGTTGTTAAATCTAACCAAGCAACAAATGGAAATGTTCATCATATCGCAACGATCGGTATGTATACTAAATGGTTCATTGCTCTAATAATCATATAGACAAAGATATACAATAATATTTTTTATTTGGTGGCGCGTGGTGATAACGACGTGCGAGGCTAGGCGCTGGTGCCAAATCAAATACTGAGATCTGTAAAATGTTAATAGTTTTTTAATTAGATGATTCATCCAATAATTTTTCGTGTTATACTATGAGAATATGCAATTAATTTATTCTACAATATATGGAAAATAAATCAATAAATATATATCGAACCAAGAATAAAAACGTGGCATTCCGTAAGATTTATTCATAGTATAATCATACAATATCATTTTGCTTTACTTTCATTAACTAGCTTTTATAATTTTTAAATATTTATTTCTACCATAAATTATCAACAGATCAAATATAATAAAGTGATGATAGATGTAAACAATGGAGCCAGATGGCCTCGTCGGCCCCGTTGGTAGTGACGTCACCAACTCGTGTATCAGTGGCGTCTGGTGGAGAGAAAACACACGGGAGTATTAATTCCTTATACTTCTTTAGTGTTTCTTCTAGAGTTGCCGGGGGTAATGGTTAATGTCTAATCAAATGAAGATGAGTTTGGTACCACAGTCAACCGTGCAGTACAGTTATCAGGGTAAGAGGAATTATTTGAGTAATGTGGAGTATAATGGTTAATGGAGGGCCTGAGAAAACAACTGTAACCTAACGGGTATTATTATTTTTTTATTTATACCATTAATTATAAGTTAATGCCGACTAAGATTTAATGAGAACTTGGGGGGGGGGGGGCTGTAGTTTTCATTATGTAACGTGTTCTCTTATTTATTAATAGATAACAAAAATAAAATGGTTTTGGAGGCAGGGTATATAATAGTGGTTTTATAAATTGGTAACTGCTGAAACATTCAATTTCAATTTCTAATGATTTGTTTTGCCCCTTAACTACAGACTGTAGGAAATTTGTCACTACGGAAGATAAATGCATTCTTACCTTATGAATTGGACGAGGAATATGTTTCTAATAAAATCATTTTCTGTTGGTGTATTCTTTAGTGGTGAAAAGGATCAAAGTTAAAACCCTACATTTTCCATCTTCAATAACCTGCCCACAGCCATTGCTTGGGGTCTGACTAATTACCCAAATGTAGCCGGAATGAAGTCAAATAATGGTCCTAGATGAATAAATCGGACTGCCAATCACTTCTCGACTAGTATTTGGTGTCACAAGTCACAAAAAATTGGTAAACTTAATTTAATTTGAGTTAATAGATCCAGTGCATGTACCTAACCTAACATAATCTAACCTAACAACACAACTCAGATTAAATTAAGTTTACCAATTTTTTTTTACTTTATGACACCAAATAATAATCGAGAAGTGATTCACAGCCCGAATTACGCTTGTACGACCATCATTTGGCTACATTTGGGTAATTCCTCGCTCCCTCAGTACATGCACGCGATCTATTAACTCAGATTAAAGTAAGTTTTCCAATTTTTTGTGACTGACACCAAATACTAGTCGAGAAGTGATTGGCAGTCCGATTTATTCATGTAGGACCATTATTTGACTTCATTGCGGCTACATTTGGGTAATTAGTCGGACTGCCATTGCTAGTGTTAGAGGGTCATATCTCATTCAATAAACATTAACCCCCAGAATAAGTCCTATTCATTAAAAATCACAAAACGAAAAAACACAAGCAATAAAAAGAGGAGTATAAAACCAATCTTTACCCAGAACACAGTTCTAAAGCTGACCATTGACATCAACATTTAAATACAGATGCGAACTATTCTTAACCAGGGGAGGGGTGGGGGCAAGGGGATAGGCAAGCCCCCATAGTCAGGCTCAGTGGGCTAATACTTTATTGGTTTGGTTTTTCTTCCCTTCATTTTTTTAGATTCTAAATCTGGGGTGGGGGTGTGTGTGTTTGCCCTCTCTTTCCCTCTCCTAGTGGACGCCTATGGTTAGATATGGTTAATTTTACTAAGGGATATTCCCGGACTTGGTGACCAAGACATGCTAGATGCAAACCATAAGAGTGGCTTGTGTGGATGTGTAATCACGAAGGAATAATTTGTGAAAATATTAGAGGAAATATTTTCCTTGACCACTTTATAATTTTCATTTGCATAAAGTCCTTGGCTCGCCATAGTAACATTCCCCCACGTCCCGCCTCCGCCTGCTACCCAGCTAACTCGTGTGTAAAGAAATATACAGTATATTCCCTTTACATGTTTCCCCTTAGGACAATTATTTCTTTTACGTGTAGGATGGTGTGTGCATGTAACGGAGTAAAAATAAATGAAGAAAGCTACGTATATCTACCCGAGAATACAAGATGAAAAAAACCCAACTCCAGTAGCCTGGTGGTTATGGTTGAGTCTAATCCGGCTACAATGCCGCCACCGATGTTAACAGATTAAATGTAAAAAGAAAGGTATATTTAATCTTCATTTGTATCAGGTCTTTGTAGATTTAAAAATAAATGTTGCAGATATAGCTTTAATAAATTGTAATGCTTGTAGGAGTTCAGAAATGGTTACTGCTTAGCTACCTCTGAAGAGTTGGGTGGGTGCCGCACAGACGTTAATCATCATCTACAGTACTGTAGTTATAAACCGAGCCTTTATATTTACAATAATTATTTTTAATTTACAAATAATAATAATAATGTTTTTTAAGTAAACAATAGCATATTTTTAATTTTGGGTTTGGGTTCGGTAGAATTTAGCCTACTGGAGACTGCTACTGGGGGATTCATTAGCTTATGGGAGACCTTAACTTAACATATAGGATGCAGGATGATTTTTTAAATAATTAAAAGAAATGTGCGTCTGATATGTCGTAAAATATGGAAAACAGAAGTACCCTTTAAATGAAGGGGTGGTAGAATAATCATGCATAGCTACATAACTATTATGAATTACACACTCAAAATACCTGTACATCAGCAGATAGCCATAGGTAACAGCTTTCCTCTGGAATTTTTCTGAATATTTTCTTAATTTTCATATTTTCATCATGTTTTCAGCCGGATGCTCCCCTTAAATCGGGGAATGCCTGTAATGTATTGTTAAAAGTAAAATTAATGCAGATATACAGGGACAAGAACATGGGAAAGGAAAGCTGAATTACCTCCGAGTATAGTATAGTACAGTACAGTACAGTGTACCGTATATTTTTTGTTTCCACAGGTCTGGCTGAATTGGCACACCGAGAGTATCAGACAGGGGACTATGAAAATGCTGAGAAACACTGCATGCAGTTATGGCGGCAAGATCCTTCCAACACAGCTGTGTTACTCCTGTTGTCCTCAATTCATTTCCAGTGTAGACGCTTAGACAAGTAAGCTTTGATTTTCATGTGTATATTATGGATTTTTTCTTCCAAAAATCAGCCTTTGCTTATATTTAAATGATAACGTTTCCAAGGAATTAGAATGAGCATCTTACACAGTATAGTACAGTACTACATTATAGGAAAGGAATTGTTGAGAATGGTGTCATGGAATGTATAGTACAGTATAGGTTTTGGATGAAAAGAAAAGAGATGAATGGATATTGGAATGGTGTTAACTTACGGTTAGCTCTCTCCTTTGAATTTTGTTTCATTACACTTAAAAATTGGATATTGTATTATTCAACATGTTTGGTCTGCCATAAGGTGGACGATCACATGGACAGAAGTAACACCAGGCTTTGTGACTCCCCATAAACACTGTACAGTACAGTATGTCAGACACCATTTTTGTAGTGTTTGGATTAGGAGAACAGGCACAGGCCTAGCCCTGGTGGCTGTTTTAAATGCTGTATATCTGGCATATGTTTGCAGCATATAGATAAGCATAATGATTCTTTTTAACAGACCTCCATATTACGTACATCCCGGTAATCACAATTTGTTTCCACGAGAGTTTAACATGCTTATGTTTGGTTTTATTATTTGTCAAACATGGGCTGGTTTGTTGGCTGAGTTAATTAATGTGGTGCATTTTTTGGTAAGGGTGAACTTTGAAGTCCCATTAATCAGATGCTTCATAGTGTACCTGGTAACTCATCTAGTCACATTATTCATAGAAAAAAAATGGAGTAGCAGCTCTGGGTTTTATTCCTCTGGGAACATAGCCTTGTGTATGTTGGAGAATTTTTATTGGCAGTAACAGTGTTATTTTATGTGTACTGTAATGATTCAGTAGTATTGCCTTTGTTGTCATGAAGCTAATGAATTTTGATTAAGCAAAAATGCAGTAACATTTGTAATTACGAGTCTTAAAGAATTTCGGAGAAAAATAACAAACACTTAGCTGTGGATGTGTGCCAGATTGTTTGTTGTGTCCTTGGTCATTTGGTCTCTAGTTTTGAGACTTAAAATAAATCTGTTACTTCTGCATGAGGGAAGAAAATCTTTCATTATTTAGAGGAAATCGGGGTTTAGTCAAATCTGGCAACAGATATATTCTTATTAATTTACTATTACTTTTCTTTGGGCTTAGATTTCCGAAAGAACCTGAGGTGAATTTATTCACCTTGTGGGAATCTGACTTTGTGAGTAATATATTTACAGTACTGTATTTATTTTCTCTTTACAGATCAGCACACTTTTCAATGTTGGCAATTAAGCAAAATCCAATGTTAGCAGAGGCCTACAGTAACCTTGGCAATGTATATAAAGAGCGTGGTCAGTTACAGGTAAGATGCAGAGCTCTTTTTAGTTTAAAACCAGTGGTATTAGATATTGTTCTTATCTCCCAGACTTAAATTGGTGGAATATAGCTTAGTTTCCGTCTGTCTGATGATGATGATAATAATAATAATAATAATAATAATAATAATAATAATAATAATAATAATAATAATAAACAGTTTATTGAAAGAGCATAGCAGCCGGAAGGTTGTAAATACTGTACTATACAGTTACATAATTTGGGGATGGGTCACTTGATTGACAAATAATATACAAGTAACATAAGTGATACAAATATGGTATTGTATATAATTAGGTGGGGAGAAGGTTATACTACAGGGCATTTCAACATAAGTGACTGCAAAAGTGTGTATGGGCAGTTTTTGTCCTCTGAAACTAGTAAAATGTAGTGTATTAGTGGTTTCAATCTTTATACATGATACAGTATACTGTACTGTGATGCAGAACACTACTGTATATACTGTATTCAATTATCAAAAAAAGAAGGAAAAAAAATTAAGAGTGGGTGTTCATATATCAATGTTACCAGTGAAACTATGACAAGCGTAACCTGGATATCACGGTTTAATGAAGGTGAAGGGATGAGCTGGAGACGTGAAGTAAAGGATTGTAAGGATAAAGGCTAGAGCAGATGTAGCAGTGGATCAGACTAACAGTGGGGTGCGAGTGATGGCTACAGTGTGAATGATAGTGACGGTAGATTCATATGACAATGGGCAATAAGGAAATAGACTAATCAAAGTGTTTGCTGAGAGAGACAGTTGATCATGGGAATACTACTACACATATGGTTCAGTAGCAAAGAATTCTTAATTATACATGGATAAGATGTGTGTTGTGGAAGGTCTTACCATACAATGTACAGTATCCTGATGGTCTGTCTGGCCTCTGGATCCACTTTTAATTCCATGATGTTCTAGAACTACCAACCCTTTATGCCTGACTATAGTTCACAAATAGCCTACTTTTAGCTCAAGTAATGAAATGGGATTTCAGAATTAATCCTTTATTAGACAATTCCTGAACAAGCACTCTAACCTCACAGGGATTCTGCATGTCAAAATTGTCCAAACTTGTTACTTAGTTAATTTTGGACATTATTTTTGCATTTATTCAAAGTCAAAGAATTATCTGTGGTTACATCTTCAGTTACAAGGAAGAGTCAGGCTACTGTACTGTATTAACATTTTAAGAATTTGACTCCAGGATATACAGAATATTTTTATGTACATTTGTCAGCCATTAGAATTTAATTTCCAAATTTCTTCTTACAGGAAGCTCTTGAAAATTATCGTCATGCAGTTCGACTCAAACCAGATTTCATTGATGGATACATTAACTTAGCAGCTGCTCTTGTTGCTGCTAATGACATGGAACAAGCTGTCCAAGCCTATGTGTCCGCTCTGCAGTACAATCCTGTACGTATAATCTTCTATATATTTTATGATTGTACAGTATTGTTACCTGAGAAATGTGCACAGTGATTAATGACTTACTGTACACTTCTACCTTTAATGGCTTACTGTACTACCTTTAATGACTTGCTGTACTACCTTTAATGACTTGCTGTACTACCTTTAATGACTTGCTGTACTACCTTTAATGACTTGCTGTACTACCTTTAATGACTTGCTGTACTACCTTTAATGACTTGCTATACTACCTTTAATGACTTGCTGTACTACCTTTAATGACTTGCTGTACAACTAATGACTTGCTGTACAACCTTTAATGACTTGCTGTACAACCTTTAATGACTTGCTGTACAACCTTTAATGACTTGCTGTGCTACCTTTAATGACTTGCTGTACTACCTTTAATGACTTGCTGTACTACCTTTAATGACTTGCTGTACTACCTTTAATGACTTGCTGTACTACCTTTAATGACTTGCTGTACTACCTTTAATGACTTGCTGTACTACCTTTAATGACTTGCTGTACTACCTTTAATGACTTGCTGTACAACCTTTAATGACTTGCTGTACTACCTTTAATGACTTGCTGTACAACCTTTAATGACTTGCTGTACAACCTTTAATGACTTGCTGTACAACCTTTAATGACTTGCTGTACAACCTTTAATGACTTGCTGTACTAACTTTGCTGTACATTACCTTTACTACCTGTGGCTTGCTGTACTACCTTTAATGGCTTACTGTACTACCTTTAATGACTTGCTGTACTAACCTTTAATGACTTGCTGTACCTTTAATGCTTGCTGTACTAATGACTTGCTGTACTACCTTTAATGACTTGCTGTACAACCTTTAATGACTTGACTTGCTGTACTACCTTTAATGACTTGTAATTATACCTTTAATGACTTGCTGTACAACCTTTAATGACTTGCTGTACAACCTTTAATGACTTGCTGTACAACCTTTAATGACTTGCTGTACAACCTTTAATGACTTGCTGTACTACCTTTAATGACTTGCTGTACAACCTTTAATGACTTGCTGTACAACCTTTAATGACTTGCTGTACAACCTTTAATGACTTGCTGTACAACCTTTAATGACTTGCTGTACTACCTTTAATGACTTGCTGTACTACCTTTAATGACTTGCTGTACAACCTTTAATGACTTGCTGTACTACCTTTAATGACTTGCTGTACTACCTTTAATGGCTTGCTGTACTACCTTTAATGGCTTGCTGTACTACCTTTAATGGCTTGCTGTACTACCTTTAATGACTTGCTGTACTACCTTTAATGACTTGCTGTACTACCTTTAATGACTTGCTGTACTACCTTTAATGACTTGCTGTACTACCTTTAATGACTTGCTGTACTACCTTTAATGACTTGCTGTACTACCTTTAATGACTTGCTGTACTACCTTTAATGACTTGCTGTACTACCTATTAAAGGTTGAGGTAGGAGTTATCTTTCAACTCATAATTTGGGTATAAACAGAACTTTTTTTTTTTATTAATTTACATGCACACACAATCATACATATGGTTTGTGCAAAAAATTAGTCATGTGGCTAAAAAATACAGGGTATAAACATTTCTTTGTGTGCCAGCAAAAGTCAGCAGGATTAGGGGGAGTTAATGCATACAATCCTTCAAACATAATGTGCAAAAAAGGTAAAAGAAATAACTATCAAAACTATCATAAGGTCAAAAACACAAGAGAATAACAATTTCTTGGTGTGTGGCAGTGTTGCTAATGGTCTGGAGGGGGAAGTCACCAGCCAGGCTTGGTTGCTACGGTGAAGTTTGAGGGCGGCGGCATGGACATGTCTATACAAGTGGCGGCTGTGTTTAAATTTGATTTTGTTTTCGTTGATGGTTGTAGCTCATATTTTCATCTAGATAGTATTTTGTTAATGTACTACAGTGACCCCTCGTTTAACGAACACCTCGGTTAACGTAATTTCGATTAACGAACTGCCTTCCATAAGGATCTTCAATTCGGTTAACGAAAAAAAAATCGGTTAACGAAGTTCTTACGAACCGACCTCAACATGTTTTCGCTTGCACTGACCGGGCAACCAGCTTTAGTATCAGTCCGCCAATACATTAATCGGTTCTAGGGCTTAAATTCCTTACTATTTTAGTAAATATCAAGAAGTTTATACTATTCAATAGTTTTAAAAAGTTTAATATTCAATTTTTTAGTCATTTTAACAATTATTGAACATAATTGAAGGTAAAATGACTTTAATGCTTGGCATCCAGCCTCTTAACACAGTAAACAGGAGTTAGTCTCTCTCTGTTTTCACTGGAGGTAACATCTTGCTTGAGACTCTCTTCGACTAAACGCTTTTTTTCTGTGTTTCCAAGCAAATTATTGGTCATTTTGAAATATATTTTACATATTGACAATATATAATGCAGTGCAGTGTTGATTTAAAGAAAATAATCTTGAATTACACCAAGAGAGCTAAAATTTTATGGGTGAAATGGCATCATGGGGTGACTTCTCTTCCACCCCAATGGCTTCTCTTTTTCCTTCTCCTCCACCCCCATTCTAAATCTCATCATCATCATCATCCAGGAGCCTTCTACATACACACCTCAAAGTAAGTGAACTTTTCTACCATTTTTGTTGAATTTAGGAAATTTTTGGTGAGCTGGAACCAATTACCCAAAAACCCATTGAAACAATGGTTTCGGTTAATGAACTTTTCGGTTAACGAACGACCTTCTGGAACGGATTGAGTTCGTTAACGGAGGGGTCACTGTATTTATAATAGTGTACGTAGTTGAGTAGGTGTTTTCTTGTTTGTGACCAGATTTCATGTTTTGGGGGTATGATATTGGGGGTGTTTTTGTCATCTGAGAGTCAAACCCTATTTTTTTCCATTTATTATTTGAAATATGGAAATTCACTTAACAAATGTTTTTTGGGGGGAACCTAACCCATTCGTATATCAAGAGATACCTGTATGGTGTTGGATATACAGCAGCATATGACAATGAAAGGTAATGTGAGGACATCTTGTCTTTTATATTGAGAGTGAAACCAATAAGGGAACTGCCAAGTGAAAATCACTTCATCCCCATCAATAGATTAATTGGAAAAACTGGCAGGAATTTGTCCAGTGGCTGCTGCTTGCCATGGGTCAGTGATGTAAGCGATCAGCCAAGTTCTGACGAGTGAAGTTTCCCCCCATGTCTCACAAGATGGCAGTACAGGTCTTACCCACCATTATTTTTAGATTGTTTTTAATGTGAAGTTTTACTGGTTTGTAAATATTATATTTAATACTCTTGTTGCTGGATGGCATAATAATTTTCATTGGTTTCCCTACCTTATGGGATTTTTTTCTCATTGTTTCCATAGGATGGTGTGTGTGCGTGCATGTAACTGCATAAAAAAGTATATATATATATATATATATTATATATATATATATATATATATATATATATATATATATATATATATATATATATATATATATATATATATATATATATATATATATATATATATATATATATATATATATATATATATATCTACCTGAAATTACAAGTTGAAAAATAAACTTTCCATAAAGCCCATTGGATAACAAATATTTTATCAGGTGAGGGAATGCTGGGAAAAATCCCCACTTGGCAAACAATGAATTACTTTCCACAGTGTTTAAGAAAATAATAGGATTTTGGGCAACTTGCATATAATTATTTCACTTAAATTGTGTATGAAAAGACCATGATAATTAGGTATCCAAAGTTCGAATTTTTCCAGAATTCTAACGAGGGTTAGTCCCAACCAATCCAGATTTGTGAAGCTTGACTGTACTTATAACTAAAATGGGATAAAGTGCTGATATAATTTTATTTTATTTTTTCTGGTTTCACTTCTAAAAAAAGATTTTGCGTTGAAATTAGAGAAAACATACTTTCAGCCACCCCAAGTTTCCCAATTTCATAAAATGATTTCCCTACAATTGACGTTTATTCATTATGAACAAATGGTAGTGAAGGAAACACAACTAAGAGAAGGAGCTTTACTCCTGACATTTCATCTCGATACTTTTTCAAAGGAATGAACGCTCAATTTGGGATACTGTTATTTATTCAAAAAAGCCGGGTAGTGAGCAGAGCTATGTCACCTCCCTCTACATTGGTTAGTAGGTATTGCTGCAGTTTCTTTTCTCTGCCAATTGTGTGCCGTTATCTGGGCTACGGTGTGCAATCAGGTCACCCAGCCTACTTTGGCGCGGCACATTATTGGTGGACAAAAGTGCGGAAGTGATGCATGTGGTAGGGAACAGAAGATGATGAAAATATAGTTTCATAATGACTTTTCAATATTACATCACCTTTGATCACATCCATTAGTATTAGTAAATGTGGGTCGATACAAGATAATGGGTAAGTGTGCTGAGCATGTCGTGGAAATACTGTTGTACTTAGGATTATGATAATCAGCAGCAGTGATATATCAAGGGGTAATATTGTGGGACTAAGTTCATGTGTATTTATTATTCACGTCGGTAAAGCTTCAAGGTGAAGAACAATCTGGAAAGAAAAGTGACTAATAACTATAAAGTACATAGACCATTTAACTCCTATTAAGTCATTAAGTAGTGGTATGTGTTTTGAAGAAAATACTGTACTATTGTATGTACACTTGGTAAAAAAAACTACCGTACAGGTGGGGTCCGGTGATTTTCCGACTGAACATTCCTGTCGTCTCACGAGGGTTGGTAGGCCTGAATACCAGACATTTCGTTCTTAATTTGGTAGGCCGAAATTAGCTATTTCATTAACAATATCAAATTACTTTGTTACAATATCACTGGAGAATGTCAGTACAGTATATCTAGATAAGTTAAACTGTATTTTATATTAAATGTTACACACACTGCGGACTACAGTAACCATGGAAGTGGATGAGTTGCCATATAGGAATGCATTATATGTTTGGCAGAATTAGTGGATATAGTAAAGGTAAAAGATTATTTTGCAACCGAATTTTGAATCTCTTTGTATTGCTACTTCACTTTGGTCTAATGCCACATTGTCATTCTTTCTTCGTATTGGAAAATATACCATGCTGTTCCAAAAAATCTGTTAAGCTCCACAGTGCATAAAACATACGCATTCTTTATGTAAGATATCGGGAAATGTTGGTAGCACTAATTACGTAAATTACAACATTAGGCTGCTACAACACCGCTCACAATGTGTATTCGACGTGAAGAAATGAGGCATGGAGTTCCGTTCAAGTTTCAAATTGTGTTAGTGGGGCAGCACTAACTCTGAATTGTTTTATAGTGCCGATCATTTATTTCGAGCATGTGTGGCCTAACCCATACATGTGCAGGGCTTTTAATGCGAGGAATGCCTAGGGGGCCTTTTTGAAACACTTCGTTTGTAGTGTCAGTTTGTTTCGCGCAGGAATTGTAAAGGTAGTTTTTTACCAAGTGTAAAGTCCTGTACCTTACTATACAGTATTTCCCTTATTAACCTTTGTATTTTTTTTCAGGATCTGTATTGTGTACGAAGTGACTTGGGTAATCTGTTGAAGGCTCTGGGAAGGCTGGATGAAGCAAAGGTATGTGGTTTTTCATGGTGCAAAGGCTTACTTTATGCCTTGCCTTATCTCTTCACCATGTCAAATCTGCTGCAGCATTATCCTCTTCCTCTCCTCTTAGAGAATTGTGGTCTAACTTAAAATTGATAGGTTTCTTTTCAAATTTCCTGCTTACTATTACCCATCCTTCCTTGGTGTTTGACACTGAAGGTAGCTTACCCTTACCTTTCAAGGAATACAGCACAGTATATCTCTTGGCTACCGTATCTTCCTTCAAAGTCATACCATTTCAATAATTAAAGTCTCCTTCAACAAAATGGAAATGTTGGGAAACATGTATGAATATCAGTATAAGCATTATATATATATATATATATATATATATATATATATATATATATATATATATATATATATATATATATATATATATACATGAATCTACAATATATGCAGCCAAGTCAATGGAAAAAAAATTATTAATAACTTAAGACAATTACTCACTTACACCATGGACTGTAAATATGGGTAGTGCTTTTAAACATAGTAGAGCTGTTAAAGAAAAAAAATTACGTACTCAAACCTCCAGACCTTTTAGAACTTCCTTGACCTTTCCTTAACCTGTGGATGGGATCATATGTCAGTAACTCTGACTGTCTTCAGCTGTCAACCTAGAGGAACTGTTACATGTAGTGCTTCAAAATAAGTCTTCAGTGTCGCTGAAACTATTCTTGGAACTGTGAAAGCAAGGGTTAATGGCCAAGTTATGATAACTGCGTAATGCCTATTGTGAAAGCCAGCATTTACGACACAGTGAGAAGGATGGAAGAGTTTGTCATCAGTTGTAAACCATGAATTATGGAATTGATAACTACCCTCAATATTGATTATTTTTGTAATAAACTTTTTTCTTTCTCTAGATGCCGACTTTCAGCGCCATGCGTATATTCCGCGATGATGGGTTTTGCCCATTTGAAATCTAGTGGAGGGTAATTAAAGGATCTGCGCTGTAGATCCATGTGGCTCCACATCCATATGTTGAGCCAGGCTTGTGCTTATTGAATGCCAAGTCTTGCTCAACACCATTGCAGCAGCGCATGATAATTCAGTCCTCAGGGAATAACTTTATCTATAAAAATAATTGGTTTTTCCAAAAAGAAACTTTGGAATAAAACAATTTTTTATGTAATTCTTCCATTTATTTTAATTGTAACTTTGAGTAAGTTAAATATATCAGCACAGTTATTACTACTGCATTTTCCTTGAGGGCTGGAAGGTTTGCCACATCTGTTTACTTTCTAGCGTTGCAGCTGTTTTTAATATACATGTCACTTGATTGGCTATGCCCTTGTTCACTTCCATGGAGTAAGTTTCTATGGCTTTTTTGTATAATTTAGATTGTGCCACAAAGTAATTGCACAGAAGTTCCTCAAGGTTTTTGCTATTCCATATTTTTTCCTCTCAGACTTTGTCAATAGTTCCCTTAAACAGTGAAATAGAGATGCAGATTGTATCTTGAGTTTCTGAACTGTGAAGAAAATGCACCTTGATGCTTGGGCTTTCGTTTAAGTACCATTGCACTTGTGGTTTGGCAGTGAATGGAATTTTATTTCTGCTTTGAATATTGTGTTTGGAGTGTTCATGTTTTAATATTGCTTATAAATAAAACGAAGAAAAAAAATTTTTGCATGAAAGAAAGCATTGAAGCTATAATTACTGTATAAAGAAGTAACAGCTTTATGAAAAAAAATTAAAACCAGTTTTACTCCAAATCCAGAAACCCCAGGCATCCTGGTACAGAACCGTGACAAGAGCTGTTACTGCAAGCCACACTAATCAGATTTGTTTCTACTTTTTCTTTCCCTTGGTCGTAATAGATGTTGAGGCTGTACAGCCCTACTCCTCTGCAGAGGTCGTCTTGAAGAAGCCTTCGTTATTCGTGGGAGTTAAGATGTAGGTGGACCTGCCTGGAAGCGCCATATAAGGGTTTGTATTATGAGGGAAAGCTGAAGGAGCTCCTAAGGAAAGTTTTATGTTAGGGGCACGCGTCCTATTCAGGTATGGTCATAACTCATCTGGAAACAAATGATAAATATGATTTAGAATGCCCTCATCAAGAAAAGCAGTTAGCCTCCTATACAGATTTTTTTCATGGGTTGTAAGATTATTTTGGTTATTACAATTTACTGTGGGAAGATTTTGTTGAGATTGGGAAAGTTATGGGTTGTTTATAACTGTTGGAGGCTGACACATTTCATGAGTCAAGATGTTTCAGAAAACCAGGGCAGCGCACGCATAGAGTAGGGCGTAAAGCTGAACTTAATAGGGCGGACTTTTTGTATGTCACTGCTTATGTGTGTGCATAGAATGATGGTCAGCGTAATGTTGTTTTGAATTTTGTATAGACATTTTTACAAATTATAACGAAAGTCTTGGTTCAATGAAATATGAAAAATTTTGTGCACCCATCAGCTCTGGCAGGAAGGTCAAGTCGCATGCGAGCGTTTAGGCAGCGGCGCATTAGGCGTATTTATAGGGCGGTTTTTTATTACATTTTGACCAACATTGATTTTTTTTTCCCTCTCCTTAATTATCCAGGCATGTTACCTGAAGGCCATTGAGACAAGACCAGACTTCGCTGTAGCTTGGAGCAATCTTGGATGTGTCTTCAATGCCCAGGGAGAAATCTGGTTGGCAATTCACCACTTTGAAAAGGCTGTTGCACTAGATCCAAATTTCCTTGATGCATACATCAACCTTGGCAACGTTTTGAAGGAGGCACGACTTTGACAGGTACAGTGCTTATTTTCTTCCAATTATTTATTACTTTAGTTGTTGCTTTGATTTTTATAAAGATATAGGCATGAGTAGATAACATGCACAGCTTATTTAGGAATTCATACATGGAAAATTTGTACAGTAGCCAAGCCAAGTAAGTATGGTTATTATTAGCCCCGAATTCACTAACACTAACAGGACAGATATTGTTTTAATATATTAAATCTGACTTCAGAATACCTGGTAGCCAATGAAGGGATCAAAGTTCCTAGATTACGATCATTTGTTAATCGAATTGTTACATCTTTGATTGCTTCCTGTCAACCTTGGCAACTATTAAAGAAACTGGATGCACTGAGGAGCAAACAAGAATCAACAATAGTTCATAAAAATCTTAATCAAGAAATGTACACCTTTTGTAAGTTGTTGTGATCATGTACTGTATATGGGTTGTCATTGGGACTCTACTGTTTTTTAAATGTTCAGTAGTGGTAATCATTTAGCACTGAATTATATTTTTTATTGACTCAAAAAAGCTACATGTGAAAAAGTAGAAGCTAGGAATTTGCATGTCAGAACCAAGACATACAGTGGAAAGCAACTACAGTAAATGGTTTCTGGCAAATACAGGAGGGAATACATTAAGCACAGTACATGTATATGTGTAATGTATACACTATATATCATGTGAAGAGACATGAGTAAACTATCCTACATTATCTAGCAGTAGTTTGTCCTTCTCCAAAAATCACTGGACATCATGCACTCTGCTCATTCATGGGCATCTGTCCCTCTCCCTTTTTGGTGCCTTTTGCCCATCTTTCCATCACCTTGGTCTTCATTTAGCCCTCCAACCATCTGCTTAAATTGAATGACACATTTTCTGTCAATTTTCCACTTCCAGTTCTCTCACTTTGACCATATCACCTGTACAGCTTTAATTAGTTCTGTACCCAACACCCCCTCTATTTCCATGTTTACCCTGAAGCCTCTTTGCCCTATACTGTAGAGTACTGCATATTCTTATGTAAGTCAGTTTTGTCAGTTCAAATTTTCTCATTCCTCCTGCATCCCCCCCCACACACACACACACACACACACACACACACGAGAGAGAGAAATGAGTGAGAGAATTTTTTTTTATCCTATTGCATTCCTGCTGGGGCTATATAACTATTGCAAATTCATTAGGTATTGTATTGGGAAATATGGATTTGGGTTCAAGAATTGCCAAGACCATACAATGCAGCAATTTTTTCTGAATATATTACGTACTGACATTGTAGAACATGAGTAGCACACTAGAGGTCTCCTGGCGAATGTCTAATCAATTCATGACACCACACCATGGCACTGGCTCTGCCCTCAACGAGTCCATGTTGCTCTCCCAAAACATATTACTGCAGTTCATAGCTGATGTTTGGTCATGTCTGATCATCTTTGCCAAACAAACCCCAAAAGCTAAGTTGCATGTCCCAGCTGCTGAGGTTTCAGGAGTGGTTAACGGGTTTTCCTGCAAATGAGGTGTTATGTAGGTGTGGTGATCGAGTAGATGCCAAACTCGTTTCCTGCTTGTTCGATACTAGGGTACCCATGGTGATCCCTAATGGCTATCAGGTGTACAGGACCTAGTGTACTTTCATTTTCATGAGTTATCCTGCCTGAGTAACCAAGTTTATTGTACACATCATATTTTATCAAGGGTGAAGGTTTTGGTTCAATGGTCGAGTCCATATAGGATTAATGTGCTTTCTCTTTCCATAGAAAACTGCTCTTCAGTTAAGTAGTGGAGGGTTCTTAAGGCTTATGTCTGCAGTGGGTTTCCACAAACTGATATTTCATTTTGGTCATATGTGTATGACCTTGACTGGATCTCATTCATTGAGATTGGATGGAAAGTTAAATTTTCCAGTTCCCTCACATTAATGCCATGTTTGACCTGAGGCTCGGTGCCATTTGTCCAGTGGGGAATAAAACTCAGCTGTGCAGCACACATTACTACAAGGTCTCATCTTTTGCCTCTACATGGTTTTAGTCATTATTGTCTTGTAACTTGTAGTAGTAGAATCAGTTAGGGACTTGAAGATTTTAAATACAGTATAGACAAGGCAACAGTACCTGACATATAAGCAAGATTTTGTCTGGACGAACATTCTTATGGAAATTGTTCTTTGCAACAATTATGCAATGTTGTTCAAACTCAAAAAAATTGAAATGCTATGTCTAGTGAGGTTTTATAGTCTAGGGGTGGGCAAATGTGGTCTGCAATCCACGTCTGGCCTGCCAAGTGAATCTGTGTCCAGCAACTTTGAAAAATCTATGGATTTTCTTATCGCATAAATAAATCATTAATTATGTTCTAAATAACAGTAAGACATGACTCAGCTCGACATACTTACAGTAACATCTTAGTTTAGGGTAGAGGGGGAGACTGTAATCCAATGCACAACAGGTCACAGTTAACTTAATCTTCATTTGGTTAATTCACATCAACACTGTCATTATTCCCATTGAACTAGCTTCTTGCACGTTCAACATTTTGAATGTTTTCAAATATGGAGTGTCTTCTTAATTATTATTTTACTTTATCACATACAAAATTTATTTTTATTCGACTCCTTAAATGCTTGTTAAATACATGTCTATGCAGTGATTTATTGATATTTTGACTAATATCAATTTGGTATCCATTACCTTCTCTACATAAAATGGAAGACATGTTTCTGAGCTGTTGTTAAACATTTAAAATTTTATATAGACAAATGTGTATGACCTGCAAAGCTTATTGAAGTTGGTAATGTGGCCCACCAGCCAAAATAAATGCCCATCCCTGTTTTATACACTGAAGGAGAGTTATAATTAGTCACTTTCTTTGATTTGCATTCTTGGGTTGATCCATGTGTGATTTTGGTTGTTGTAGCAGACAATGCCAAGCTGCTGGGATTTATCTCACTTTCAAAGGCAGAAGTTTATTTGTGTGGACACTAGTAGATAGGTACTATTGGGCTTGGGTTACTTTGTTTCCCTAGCATCAGAGAGAGTTAAGAGGGTGGCTGTTTATTGATAGTATTGGTGAAATTCTGCATAGAAGCAGACTGAGATGGCTTGGGCATGGGGAGAGAATGGATGAGACCATTTGGGTCAAGAGATGCAGGCCTAAATGTGGGGGAGAGGAGAACCAGGGATAGGCCAAGAATGGCATGGGCAGAGGTTGTTAGAAATTACATTAAAGGTAGGATCCTTACAAGAGGGACTGGAAGAGACCATGCGGCATGGGGTTCCTGACGTACGTAAATGTGGAAAATGTCTATGAAACAATGGTGATCATGAGCATGCTTGGCAGTGTTGGCTTGGTAACATTTTTATTTTTATTAAAAGTGCGCTTCTGTGTATTTGTTGTTAGTAATTTTCTTCTTTCTCTCTGCTTTATGTGGATAGATATGTTTCTTGCTGAACACCTATTGTCATTTGTTTTTTAAAGCTATGGATTTCTCTGAGGAATCCACAGTAGCACCAAATGTGTGCAGAAAGAGATTAGTCTGACCTATTTATAACAAGGTCAGCTCTTGATTTTGGGGTTTTTGTCTCTCCAGACCTGGAGCTTTTGCAGCACCACCTCCCTCTTTCTTTTAGCGAGCTCTGTTACAAGAGCTGCCTGGTAGAGAACATTAAACTAGAAATATTAGAATGATCATGAAATCCCCTTTTCAGTTGGAGCCTGTAGTCTGGAGACCTGGATATCAGTTTACATCCATTGGGTTCATGTCTAGCCATCAGGAATTGGTTGTTTTTTTATATACATACATACCTGAAATTGCACAGGCAGACTTACAGCCCCACCCAAACAAAAATTAAATAACTACTTGGGTGGCCCTAAGTGGGCTTTGCAGTGGAGTGAAGGAAGGTGAACAGTTGAATAATGATTAACAATTAGTGTGTTAAGGACAATTGGAAACTAGCCAAATGCATCGGGGGACCTCTAGTAAAACTATATCTCAAGAACTACCTGGAGACAGTCTCAGAAAAAAGGGGATTTCTGGATCAATCTTTCATTTTGTGCTTTGGGATTAAATTAAAATTAATTAATGGGCAATAATGACCACCCACTCACCATCTAGAAGCCAGTTAGCACACTTGATCTCACTGTCGGCAGTACATGTACAGTACTTGTACCTGTTGCCTTGGCCGAAAATCATATCTTTTGATAAAGCTTCAATGTAAAGGTCTTTTGTTTATAAATATTACAAACTTCTGTGCTGTACAATACTGCACTGTTAAATATTTATCCTGTAATATAAAAGTATGTTCTGTTTATACATGGTGCAGGCAACTGGTCGTCAGTTCTCAAGTTAAACAGTCCACAATTAACAACTAATTATTACCTCAATATGGCCCATTGGTATGGGAGTTTTATTTTGCTACAGTAGCAGCTGTAATTACTTTGTGGTTTATTATAGCTTGGGTTGTAAACAATAGAGATGCCCAGAAAAGACATCTTATATTTATAGTATTTGTGTGTTGACAGGAATTCATAAGGAGATACATATTAACGAGGGCTAACTCATATTTTGCTACCACTCTCTCTGTGTGTGTGTACATAAGGGTATGTTAATAGGGAGAATGGAAAGAAAGTTTTGTAATAGGGATTTTGAATTGTAACAAGGGAAAATGCTGATTCTAATATGGAAAGAAGTAATTAAAGAAAATTTATAAAGTAATAACATTTGTAGTACAGGTAGTCTCCGATTTACGAAGCTTTGGTTTATGAAATTTTGAAATTGACAAAAAAAATTGTCAATTGCTTTGAGCTATGAAGAAAAATTCCAATTGATTTTTTTTTGCCAATTTTGTACGGTAATTTTTTACAAAGTAATGATGAAAATATCCTAAAATAATGCAGTATTTATACTAAGCACTTCACATTTCCTTTTATCACTGTTACACTCAGTTTAACACTTGTATGGGCATTGTGAAAACAAACTAAAATTTATATTAAAGCACCAAGACTGATGCTTGAACCAGCATCATCATAGCTCAAGGCGTCTGTGACTGCAAAGTTCACGCTATGTAAACAGAGTAACAAGATTTTAGGATGACTTAACTCCTCAGGGGTCAAGCAAGGATCCTCCCCACTTAGAGAATGTATCTCCAATTATAGTGGATATCACTGGACCTGTATTACTAGAATAATTAATACACGTTGGATTGGCATTTCATATGTTTTGTTTCTTATCATAGTGCATGACCGCTCTAAACCTACACACTCGTGAGCTCGGCACGTGTCGGAACATGATGCAATCTTTTGGGAATCTGACCGAATGCCCGGAATGGAAAGATTTTCCTGTAATTTCTCAGAATGCTCCCCCACCCCCCAAAAAAAATCAAGGTATAACGTAGAGTTCCAAGGATCAAACAGTAGGTTGTGCATACAGAATATCAGTCCCCATACATAAACCTTTAGGAATTATTTTGTAATACAGTACTATATGAAAGTAAACATCCCTGTGGAGTTGGGAATCACTAGGAATAGCTCGGCTCTATGATCATAAAGAACATTATGTGTTTAACTGTAAATGTTTTGTCATATGTTATTGGGAAGAATTAAATTTAAATTGATGAAAATTTGGGGGTTTTGCCATCATTTTCTCACATTTTCTATCTCATATCTTTTCCCTTGTTCTCTTCACATTTTTTGTCTTGTAATACAAGTGGTTACTTTTGTCGTCACTTGAATATTAAACCACTTGTGTCATTTAGGTTTCACTACTTTAAATGTGGAAAGAAATGAGAATATATACAGTATGCATAAATTTTTTTAGACTATATTGTATTTGAAAATGAGATGGACATAGGAAGAATAAGCAGATGTACTGGAATTGTACAAATGTGAGTGATGGCACTGAGAAATGAGAGTCAAGTACACAGTGTAGTACAGGTTAAGAATGTAAGGGGGGTGCCCAAGTACCTGGTGGTACAGGTTAGAATGTAAGAGTTGTCAAGAGTACACAGTGCAGTACAGGTTAAGAAGAATGTAAGAGTGTCCAAGTGCAGTGTAGTACAGGTTAGAATGTAAGGTGTCAAGTACACAGTGCAGTACAGGTTAAGGGGAATGTAAGAGTTGCCCAAAAGTACACAGTGTAGTACAGGTTAGAATGTAAAGGGGGGTGTCCAAGTACACAGTGCAATTTTACAGGTTAGAATGTAAGGTGTCCAAAGTACACAGTGTAGTACAGGTTAAGAATGTAAGGTGTCCAAGTACAGTGTAGTACAGGTTAAGAATGTAAGGGGGGTGTCCCAGAAGTACACAGTGTAGTACAGGTTAAGAATGTAGGGGTGTCCAAGTACACAGTGTGGTACGGAGTTAGAATGTAGGGGGGTGTCCAAGTACAGTGTGAGTACAGGTTAAGAATGTAAGGGGGTGTCCAAGTACACAGTGTAGTACAGGTTAAGAATGTAAGGGGGGTGTCCAAGTACACAGTGTGGTACAGGTTAAGAATGTAAGAGTGTCCAAGTACCAGTGTAGTACAGGTTAAGAATGTAAGGGGGTGTCAGTACACAGTGCAGTACAGGTTAGAATGTAGGGGTGTCAAGTACACAGTGCAGTAATAGTTAGAATGTAAGTGGGGTGTCCAAGTACACAGTGTAGTACAGGTTAGAATGTGGGGGGGTGTCCAAGTACACAGTGTAGTACAGGTTAGAATGTAAGAAATTGTCCAAGGAGTACACAGTGCGTATGGTTAAAATGTAAAATTAGAGTGTCCAAGTACACAGTGCAGTACAGGTTAAGAAATGTAAAGAGTTAATCCCAGAGTACACAGTGTAGTGGAGTTAGAATGTAGGGGGGTGTTAAGTACAGAGTGTAGTACAGGTTAGAATGAAGTGTCCAAGTACACAGTGTAGTACAGGTTAAGAATGTAAGGGGTGTCCAAGTACACAGTGTAGTACAGGTTAGAATGTGGGGGGTGTCCAAGTACACAGTGTAGTACAGGTTAGAATGTAAGGGGAGGTGTCCAAGTACAGTGTGGTACAGGTTAAGAATGTGGGGGGGGGGGTGTCCAAGTACACAGTGCAGTACAGGTTAAGAATGTGAGAATTGTCCAAGTACACAGTGTGGTACAGGTTAAGAATGTAAGGGGTGTCCAAGTACAGTGTAGTACAGGTTAAGAATGTGGGGGGGTGTCAAGTACACAGTGCAGTACAGGTTAAGAATGTAAGGGGGTGTCCAAATTGCACAGTGTAGTACAGGTTAAGAATGTAGAGGGGGTGTCCAAGTACAGTGTAGTACAGGTTAGAATGTAAGAGTGTCCAAGTACACAGTGCAGTACAGGTTAAGAATGTAGAGTGTCCAAGCACACAGTGTAGTACAGGTTAAGAATGTAGGGGGGTGTCCAAGTACACACAGTGCAGTACAGGTTAGAAATGTAGAGGTGTCCAGAAGTACACAGTGTGGTACAGGTTAAGAATGTGGGGGGTTCCAAGTACACAGTGTGGTACAGGTTAAGAATGTAGAGTGTCCAAGTACACAGTGTAGTACAGGTTAAGAATGTAGAGTGTCCAAGTACACAGTGCAGTACAGGTTAGAATGTAGGGGTGTCCAAGTACACAGTGTGAGTACAGGTTAGAATGTAAGGTGTCCAAGTGCAGTGTAGTACAGGTTAGAATGTAAGGTGTCCCAAGTACACAGTGTGGTACAGGTTAAGAATGTGGGGGGTGTCCAAGTGATACAGTGTGAACAGGTTAGAATGTAAGGGGTCCAAGTACAGTGCAGTACAGGTTAGAATGTAGGGAGTTGATCAAGTACACAGTGTGAGTACAGGTTAAGAATGTAAGAGTGTCCAGAGTACAGTGTAGTACAGGTTAAGAATGTAGGGGTGTCCAAGTACAGTGTGAGTACAGGTTAGAATGTGAGAGTGCCCAAGTACACAGTGTAGTACAGGTTAGAATGTAAGGGGTGTCAGGGTACACAGTGCAGTACAGGTTAAGAATGTAAGAGGTGTCCCAAGTACACAGTGCAGTACAGGTTAGAATGTAAGAGTGTCCAAGTACACAGTGTAGTACAGGTTAAGAATGTAAGGGGGTGTCCAAGTACACAGTGTAGTACAGGTTAAGAAGTGTGGGGGTGTCAAGAAGTCGCAGTGTAGTACAGGTTAAGGAATGTAAGGTGTCCAAGTACACAGTGTAGTACAGGTTAAGAATGGGGGTGTCCCAAGTACAGTGTAGTACAGGTTAGAATGTAAGGGGGGTGTCCAAGTACACAGTGCAGTACAGGTTAAGAATGTAGGGGTGTCCAAGTACACAGTGTGGTACAGGTTAAGAATGTGGGGGTGTCCAAGTACAGTGCGGTACAGGTTAAGAATGTAGGGGGTGTCAAACACACAGTGTAGTACAGGTTAGAATGTAAGAGTGTCAGTACACAGTGCAGTACAGGTTAGGAGAAATGTAGGGGGGTGTCCAAGTACACAGTGTAGTACAGGTTAAAAATGTAAGAGTGTTAGAGTACAGTGTAGTACAGGTTAAGAATGTGGAAGTGTCCAAGTACACAGTGTAGTACAGGTTAAGAATGTAAGGGGGGTGTCAAGTACACAGTGCAGTACAGGTTAAGAATAATAATTAAGGTGTCCAAGTACACAGTGCAGTACAGGTTAAGAATGTGGGGGGGTGTCCAGTACACAGTGCAGTACTGGTTAGAATGTGGGGGGTGTCAAGTACACAGTGCAGTACAGGTTAAGAATGTGGGGGTGTCCAAAGTACAGTGTAGTACAGGTTAAGAATGTAGGGGGGTGTCAAGTACACAGTGTAGTACAGGTTAGGAAATGTACTGTGGGGGGGGTGTCAGAAGAAGTACACAGTGTAGTACAGGTTAAGAATGTAGAGGTGTCCAAAGTACACAGTGCAGTACAGAATTTAGAATGTAAAGTGTCCAAGTACACAATTGGTACAAGTTAGAAATGTAAGGGGGTGCCCAAGTACACAGTGTAGTACAGGTTAAGAATGTAAGGGGGTGTCAAGTACACAGTGCAGTACAGGTTAAGAATGTGGGGGGGTGTCCAAGTACACAGTGCAGTACAGGTTAAGAATGTAAGGGGTGTCCAAGTACACAGTGTAGTACAGGTTAGAATGTAAGGGGGTGTCCAAGTACACAGTGTGGTACAGGTTAGAATGTACTGTAGAGTGTCCAAGCACAGTGTGGTGGGTTAAGAATGTAAGGGGGTGTCCAAGTACACAGTGTAGTACAGGTTAAGAATGGGGTGTCCAAGCACAGCAGTGCAGTACATGTAGAATACAGGTTAAGCACGTAAGGGGGGTGTCCAAGCACACAGTGTAGTACAGGTTAAGAATGTAAGGGGTGTCCAAGCACAGTGTAGTACAGGTTAAGAATGTAAGGGGTGTCCAAGTACACAGTGTAGTACAGGTTAAGAAGGTGTAAAGGTGTAAGGGGGGGGTGTACACAGTGTAGTACAGGTTAAGAATGTAAAGCACACAGTGCAGTACAGGTTAAGAATGTAAGGTGTCCAAGTACAGTGTAGCAAATAAGAATGCGGGGTGTCCAAGTACAGTGTAGTACAGGTTAAGAATGTAAGGGGGTGTCCAAGCAAGGCAGTGTAGTACAGGTTAAGAATGTAAGGGGGGGTGTCCAAGTACACAGTGTACAGGTTAAGAATGTATAAGGGGGTGTCCAAGCACACAGTGTACAGGTTAAGAATGTGGGGGTGTCCCACACAGTGTAGTACAGTGTTGAGAATGTAAGGGGGTGTCCAAGCACACAGTTAATATAAGTTAAGAATGTAAGGGGGGTGTCCAAGTACACAGTGTAGTACAGGTTAAGAATGGGAGGGGGTGTCCAAGTACACAGTGCAGTACAGGTTAAGAATGTAAAGGGAGTGTCCAAGTACACAGTGCAGTACAGGTTGCACTTAAATATCCAAACATCAGTTATCTGGAAACTAACAAAATCTGAAAAATTAAATAATTTTCATTTTTAACTCCAGGTATTTTAAATTGACTTAACTGGCTAGTTCATGAGCCACCGAGCGATGGCGTTAAGAAAGCACACTCGGCTGACTGCAAAGGTAAATAAACAAAGCTAGCTTCACTAGTATTATATTGCCCTTACTAAAATCCAGGAAGGTCTTCAAATACTGGAGCACTTTAATTATACCTGTACAGTACAGTAATTAACTCTTGACCTAGCAGCCTACACAGCCCTACACACTTACAATCTTTAATTATAGGTAAAGAAATAAATAATTGTACAGTACAGTACTGTACTTGTTTTTGTATTAATTAATGTTATCAAACAGTATGTTATTTGGTGCTTTGTGAAATATTAATTTTTTTTTAACGCCCCTCAGTTATCTGAAATGGCCTGAGTCCCAAGTGTTTGGAGTTCTTTGCAACCTGTAATGTGTGTGTGTAGGTGAGATCCTTGTTAAATGTTGTGTGGAAATAAACATTCCTAGAAAATTTGGTGGAAAATGGCCAAGTGGAAACATATTTAATTAAACATTTGCATACTGTATTACTGTAAGTGGCTCTTGTTGCTTCTATATATTCCATTTGTTTCTTCACTATTATTGTTCTCTTACACCTTTGTACAGGTACTCCCATTTTCCAGCATTAAAGTTCTGTACATACTTCTGCTTGATAGGCCCTTTAAACGGTTCTTCATACATCTTTATTTGTTTTCTTTTTCTATGTTGTCCTTGTTATGGTGCAGCAGGAGGAAAGTTATTAAGGTATTATTATAGCTGACATCTTCAAATGATAAAATATAAGAATTGGGGGTTTATGGCTCTAAAAGCGTGGGTGGCTTAATGATGCACCAAGTTGGAGGGGAACCAAACTAATGCCATCCTTTTATCCCTCTCCATTATAAGATTTGTTTGTGTGAATGTTACTTGATGTTCTCATTATTGTAATAACTTTTGTACTCTTCAAGAGGCCACAGTGGCTAAGTTAGGTATTTCAAAATGTTCATGAGAACAGTTGGTAGATATCAGACAAGCTGTAAGAGTTACAGTACTTTTACTTGAAAGTCAAATGCAAGTGTAGTTATTTTTATAATTCTAAGTTGTTTTCTGGAATTTTGTATAGGTACCTTTTTTATTATTTTGTTTTATTTATTTATTTTTTTGAAATTTCTTTGGTTTTCGTAGATTTTCATACATTGGAGTATTTCCTTGGAGTGGCTGACTAATGGGTGTGGCTCCTTTAATGTTTATTCTGGAGTGCTTCCTCATAGAGGGTGTTCCCTTGTGCATGATTGATAAGTGGTTATTGCTTTACTTAATGTTTATTCGTTTGTAAATACCTGTATCTTGATTGTACGGCGTTGAGAAATGTCTGAGAAGCGGTGATGATGATTTGTTAAGATTTTGCCCCTGTATAAATGAGTCACTGATACGTACAGGCTTGTAAAAGGCTCCTGTACACCCAGGAGTAACTTGATATGCTCTACCTTCTAATTGGCTCTGATATGTGGTCACTGGGAAATGGCTTGTTGAAGTTACCTGCACCTTGCTTGGTTCATTTATATATGCTGTCTAGTAAATGACTTGATGAATACTGCCTTTTGAACACCTGACTTATTTACTGCCATTGTAAGGACTCGGTAATGTGAACTGTCGGGTGATTAACTCATTACGGTATGCTGTTTTATGAATGGCTTACTTATAATTAATGCTAGTGATTGGTTCACTAGTATTTGTTACTACATTATTGAAATGGCACCTTTATATGTACTGTATTAAACAATAACGCACTAATGTGTGTACAGAAAGAACTAATTTGCTTATGCAGTTGTATGAATAACTCAAGGTATTGCCATATGAAAGCATCACAAGATTTTTATGTATAGTGCATGAATGTGTTTTGGTTACTTGCTGTAATATGGATAGCTTGCTCATGTGAGTGACTCACTAATGTGTGTGCGTGCGTGCTGCTATCTGATACCTCCCTGGTGGGTACTGCTGTACGAACGGCTCGAATGTATGTTACTGTAGTTCACTTTTCTGTACATGTGCTGCTGTATGAATCCTTCCACTGACTGATGCATGCTGGTGTATGACTGGCTCAGTTATGCATGTCCATGTATGACTGGCTCGATGATGCATGTCCGTGTATGACTGGCTCAGTGATGCATGTCCATGTATGACTGGCTCAGTGATGCATGTCCATGTATGACTGGCTCGATGATGCATGTCCGTGTATGACTGGCTCAGTGATGCATGTCAGTGTATGACTGGCTTAGTGATGCATGTCCATGTATGACTGGCTCGATGATGCATGTCCGTGTATGACTGGCTCAGTGTATGACTGGCTTAGTGATGCATGTCAGTGTATGACTGGTTCACTTTTACTAGCATAAAATAGTTGAATGATGAATGCTACTGTATGAGTGTGTTCACCCTAGTTGGGTGCTGCTTTTGGAATGACTGATGAAGTTAGTGTATCATTTTCTTTAAAATTGTTTATTTTACCTTGATTCTTGCTTTAGCATTTGACATAATCACATATTGTTAATGCTCTACTACAAATGTAGTTTCCCTTTCAATTTTGCCAGCTGAGATTTTTTAGTGAATTAGCTTGTTTTCATATAGATTTTGAAATAGTGTAGTTTAAGTGCATTAATATATTTTGAGTGAGGTGTGAGTTTTGGAAAGTTTAAATGAGAAATAACACAACCTAAGATATATGTCTGTGTATGTGTGTGTCAGTGTGATGAGATTTCTAACTATGAACTTTACACTTTAAGTTCACGAGACACTTAAAATATTCCTACATCGTAAATACAGTAACTGTGTAAAGTTGACGGTAAGAACTTGTCACATGCCAGTACAAATTTTAAGGTGGAGTAATACCATCCTCTATTGTCTCACTAGGTCTGACAAAGGAAATGTAATGGATTGCAAGAGTTCATGCCACCTAATTGGAGGAAAAGACTATTGGAAAAAAAAATATCATGCAGATACAGTATATACAAGAATGTCTTTAATTTATTGAACAAAGATCCTAAGTGGACACAGTGAGAGGGAATAAGAGGTGTAAATAAATGCTAAACAACCACTAAACTCATTTTAAATGAAAATTGTAAAAAATAAAGGAATGAGTCAAGTGATTAAGTGCAGTGAGAGAGAGGATGTGTGAGGATACAAATCGAAATGTAACCAAAGAGGAAAAATTGAGGATTAGAAAGTGAGGAATAATGGGGAAGGGTTGTAAGAGGACTGGGAAGGACCTGCTACTAGTAGTAACAAATATATTGCAGCTCAATGTAGTTAGGGAACTTAGCCTATGCCCTCCCCCTCACACTCCCCTCTTGTTCTCTCTACCCTCTCCCCCTTTTTTCAGTATTATTCCACCTTTGTGTATACAGTATATATATAGACACACACACACAGGTATTGGACCATTTATCCGGCATGCTTGGGACCTGGGTGTTGCAGGATAGGTTTCTTTTTTCTCCAGAATTTGGAGCACCAGACCTAAAGTGTACAGCAAACCCTCTGTAACTGGCAGTGAAGCCTCTGTTCAGATACTAGATTCACCCCTAAAAGTAGCTTTAACTGCACACTAACATTAAAACTTATATTATATGCATATAAACACCATTAACGAAAGCATATAAATAGCATTAATGAAAGTATAAAGAGCGTAAAAATGATT